ACGTTCTAAACGGGTGCATTTCTGAGTTCTCTTGAGCGGTACCCGGCTTTACACGAGTGAATAAAATGAATGTTATTGGTAGATTATCAAGGGGGCAGGATTATTGAGGTGGAAGGTTCGCAAACAAGTCTGTTAGTGGCCAGTGTCTTGGAAGCATCTTGTTAACCAGTTAGCACTTGGTGCTAGAAGGTTCCCATTGGGAAATCACATTGGGACCAAGTAGCGCTAAATTGGTGACTTAGCAACGACACTGTCAAGGAACGTTATGGACAGCGGAAACATGCAAGAGGAGGAGGGTTTTGTGTCAGAGATCGTGGATGAGTCATAAATTTTTTTTTTATTTAGAGGAGGAAAGTGGAGACGAAGTTGTTGTGGAAGAGGAAGCCAGGGCGGCAGAAGCTTGGTTTGGTGTAGAAAGCCCTCAGTCGTACATGTTTGAGCCCTTGCTTCGCAACACTGCCTGTTCAGTTAGCTCTATGCCTGCCGAAGACACAGACGTCCACGCCCGTGAACACTGGGATGTAACTCAATGGTAAAGTAAATTATTCTTATTTCAACCGTTGCGTATATTAGATGCGACAGATGAATTATTAGACGGATGACCGTCGATATATGTTTGGCCGAATTTAGGTGTACAAGTTACGTATAACTAACTGGCCTGCACAAAATAACGAGAGAAAAAAAACACAGATTTTAAGACATGATTTTTTTTTAAATAGAAATGTTCTAACTTTTGGGACATTATGGTCTGATAAAGAGGACATTTATATACATGTTTAAGCCAGAATGATTTGACATTTAAATATGACTTCCCTACGACTTTATAGCGTTTGTTCTCCAGCAACCATTGCATTATGGCAAAAGTCACTGCCAGTTTGGACTGCTACCATTGTGACGACAGCTTCCTGTTTCAGTAGTCGTGGTAGGCCATCTCAAAAGCGGAGGCTGTAGTTTTACCTTAAAGCACTTTCGAAGGGACTCTGTTCAGCAGCGAAGGTGCTGTGAAGTGAGTAGGGGGAGGGAGAAGCCTAAAGAGTCGCTTTGGTTCACTGGGAATAACTCTTTGACTGTAGTGGCGGTTTCATGTTGCATCAGTGTACTGTGCTGCCAGCTCAAAGGTTATCTGGGCTTGTTGACTATGACAAAACAACACAAAAGGGGTGGGAGGGTAGAACATAAGCAAAGGGTGAACAGAGTTCTGTTGGTGCACGTTTCTGCATTTTATGCAGGCCTAGCCAAAAGGGTCGGGTGATTCATCAGGATGGGGGAGGCTGTCAGAAAGGCCTTAGTTCTGGATTTGACTTGGGACTCTGCAGCTGACTTACAGCTCTGTCTGTATATAGACGGCCTGCTGGGGAAACAATCTCACATCTGTTCACTCTATTAAATGCAACCCATAAAGGTTACGATTCATTTGGTGCATGTGATTTTGTTTATGTGCTCTTCACCAGAGAATCATCATGAATGGATGCTATATTCTGGGCATGAGTCAAGTCTTCAATATCCCCTTTGGATCTCATGATAATAATTATAGATAAGATGCTTGGTTATCTCACATCAATGCTTGAGCTCAGATTACATATTAGCAATCACACTCCAGTCAGCAGGAGAAGATTCTTATTCATCTTGATGGTTGTATTTTTTATTAAATCTGAGGATTATAGCAGAAGTAGATGATCATACAAATTCTGTGTTGAAAAGTAATCTCATCACTTTAGAATTTTACTTTCTTACCATTAATTGAAAGGCTGAATGCAAATGATAGATGGATTTCATTAGACAACCATAACATTTTGGCAGGGATTTTTATTCGGCCTCCATTGTAAATAATTTTTGGAATTATCTTTTACAATTATTACTATGGCTGGAGGAATTTGCAAAACCAAAACTGCAATTATTTTTAACCAATATTGCGTTTTCATTTCTATTTTTAAGATTGTAGATGTTCCACATCAGGGTTTCAGTTTTCTCATGGCCTTGTAAGTTTGCTTGTCCAGAGTCGAGTGTTGCAGGACTATACTGTAACTTTGGTATAAAAACAAAAGTGATTACCTCTAACTGGATGCATGCTTGCTGCCACTCTCACTACCTTTTCTTTTTTTAACAGATGGATTCTGTTCACTAATCATTTGTCTCCTGAAAGCTAGTGGTTGCCCTGTATTTTATTTTGGAGGTTGGATACTTTTGAAGTATTTTTGGTTCTTTTTCTACTTTTTTGCTGATTAGGCTGGAATGACTTAGATTTGACCAGATGTGAAAAAAAAAATATTTTTGCTCTATTTTGCTTTGGAAACGAATCTAATTTGACACAAATTTCCTTGTTTGTGTTTCAAATAAAGTAAAATATGAAATACTTTTGTGAGCTACTGGATTCTGTTTAGATTACAGAGCTATTAGCTCTAGAGTACCTTAGTTTTGGGGGCTTTTGAAGATCAAACGGTATAGTTTGTCCTTTTTCCGGGGTTGGAATTGGTCCATTTCAACGTTGTTTCAACTGTCGCTTCATACCCAGACTTTTGCTGTCGCATGCGCTCAAACCAGATGAGCACAAATGGCTGGTGAGTCAAACCAAACCGGCCAGTTGTCAATGTTTTTTTTTTTCTTATTTTTTATTTTTTATGTTTTTTTATTTACCCCATAATGGGCAGCATCGATGGTGCAACAGTGCTCAGCCGCTCCCGGCTGTTTGGTGCAACATTAGACTTGGTCATTCTGATATTTCCCATTTTAACGAGAGAGATGAAAGGTTCCTACTAAAATAAAAATAAAACATTCGGATGAAATAAATAGTTGTGGGTCAAGTTGGCAAAGATCCTAAAAAAGAGAGATGGGGATTGATGGATCAGAGAATAAGAATAAATAGAAGATTTGAAGAATTTCTCTTTACCAACAGTCTCTTAATCAGAGTGAAACCTGATCTAACCTAATTACCAAGATTCTTTCATTTCTAACAAAAATTTTTGTTGTTTGCTCATTAATTCACTGTCACCTTATCGCCAATAATCTGCTTAAATCTGATGGAAAAAGTTGACCTTTCCATTGCAGAAAAAATAAATAAAAATACCATCCAAGCTGACCACGTTTAGCCCTATTGCATAATTTGCTGTTCATTGGTTTTATAAAACAGCAGATCTACTTTGGACTGTTGTTTAGGTGTTATTGACTTTTGCTGTCGATCACCCTTCAGAAGTTCAAAGGATCCTTCTTACGGACTGATACTGAAGTCAACCCCAATGAAATTATGTTGGACTCATCATAAAAGTCTTGTTTGCAATCGTTGCAACAGGAAGTGATTGCGTGTCAGTGGCTTTTGAACTACACTGAGCTCTTTATCTCTATATTGTCCTGCTGAAGGTCTGGCTTAAAGTCACAACACAAATTACCAGGGGAAGGTTTATAGGGTTTAATCCTCCCAGTTAAAAAAAGATCAGTTTAGATGTTTTGTACATTAAATCCATTATGATTTAATTCGTTTTGCCAGAAATGAACCTCCTACCTGTTGTACTAAAGGCACTTTTACACAACTGCTACTTTGTAGGTTGCCAGGTTGAGGAAAAAAATTTTTTTGTTTAATTTTTTTCCTTAAGATGACACGTTTTCTTTTTAAATTGGCAAGATTCATTTTATTCCACATTTATGGTAAATATTACTTTAACACATGTAAAACTTTGGAAGAATAAAATAATTAACTATGCATGTCTGTACTTTCCAGGTGATTTTATTTAAAGAATAAAAAACACTTTTTTACGTTCCACAGCAATGTCGATCATAAGCTGTGCCTCTGCTTCATCCCCACAGCATAACGCTTCCACCACCGTTCTTTTGAGATGGTTCCTTCAGGGTGAACTTTTGTGAGGTTTATCTCCGTGTATAATTTCTGCTTGTCACTCTTCAATAGAACTTGCAGTAAAAACTGCTACTATGACTTCACCCATTGTTTTTAGACTGCCTTTTTGCGGCCTTTCCTCATCGTCCTAGAATAAGCACATTTTGACATAAGGGTTGTCAAGATTGAGCAAAAACAGAAACCTTGCATGATGCTGTATCTTCTTTTAGAAACCCTTCCCTCATAACTTCACATCTCTGTTGTCACACCCCTGCTTTATATGCATTCTCCCGGGTTTGCATCTGTGCAGCTTTGCATTTACCAAACAACCAACTGTGATCGCTAGAGATGATATGATGGAATGAATCAGGCCTTTGTTTATTTTTAGGAAGTTTCCATTGGTAGATCCAGGCTAGGATGAGTTGTGGTTTTGATGATGACTGCACCGCTGCTGGCTCATGAACACCTGATCTTATCTAGCTACAGGCTAATCTAACCCCAGGCTCACACCGACTCCGGTCTTACCGTTGCGGTGCGGTGGGTGCGGCGCCGCAGTGATTCCAAGTCATTAAAAAGACGTAAACCTCTCTCACCGGCTGCTGAGCTGTCCGGCTGCGGTTACCGAGACACTCCGGCGCTGCAGAAACTTCCGCAAGAAAGCTATCCTTGCGGCATGCCGGAGCCCTCCGCAACAAGCTCTCGCAAATATCCTTGTTTGGGCTGTGTTATCGCGTGAAGTTACGTGAACTCAAGTGAACTTCTGTTAAATCTCCGGACCTGTTGCCGGAGCCGCAGAGCCGCACCGCACCGTAGTCAAAAGGGCGGTGTGAGAGGGGGTGTGCGGGAGTTGCGGTCTCCGTCGGCTCGGTAACCGCACCGGAGCCAGTGTGAGCAAGGGGTAACAGTTAGTTTTTATTTTGTCACTGGTATTTTTTTAATTTAATATCTGGCAGGTTGTCATATCCAAGACTTAAACTCTGTGTATAGTGTGCTTTAAAAAAATCTGAAAATGTGTAACATAGTTTTGTAAGATGGCCACAAACTCGGACATAATTTCAACACATTTAGACGTCATCAGATGAACTAAAAATACAGACTGTCAGAGAAAAAGAGCCTGTACCAATTGGATGTTAACAGTAATTACCTTCTTTTTTTTCCACCTTTACCCATGCAGGGTTATCCGCGCGATGGTCCGCCATGTCAAGTACTTTTTTGGCCTTCGAATTGAAGTGAGCGGCTGGGAGCACCTGCAGACAGTAGGTCCTTACATCATCATCTCCAACCACCAGAGCTCTCTGGATGTTCTCGGTAGGTATTCTCTTTTTTTAGGAATAATGTTTTTATGGATTTCTTTTTGCTATGGGGGCTGCATTGACAATGGATGCAAGGAACATAGTCCACTCAGACGTTATGTCTTCAGCCTTCCCCAGAATTACCAATATAAGTCGGAGCGGTTCGCGGTGCATGCTAGAGTCCGTTAGAGCTGTCCTCTGTCATCGGTCCTGACGATGTCGTTCTCCAGGCTCCCTCCTACCAAGACCTACAGCATGATCTGGGGTGGTATTCATCCGAGTGCGAAGCGACCAGGAAGAATCAGCTCCACTAAGTTTGAGGCCATGTTCTGTACAGGAAAAAGGTGTCTTGTCCGCTTCGTGTTGGAATAGAGTTCCTACGTCACATTGAGAACTTAAGGTATCCAGTTCACTAGTGAGGGAAGAATGGAGTGAGACATGGATAAACTGATCGGTGCAGCTACAGCTTTAATGCAGACTCTGCACAAGTCTGGTGTGGTGAAGAGGGAGCTGAGTGAAAAGGCAAAGCTCTCCATTTACCAGTCAGTCTACGTTCCTACCCTCATCTATGGATGAAGTCAGGATCATGACCGAAAATACGAGGTCCTGGGTACAATCTGCTGAAATTAGCTTTCTCTTTAGGGTGGCTTATGGGATAAGGAGCTCACTCAATCGGGCGAGGCTTGGAGTAGAATCGCTTTTTTATTGATGAGGTGAATCAGCCTTCTTTTTTGGATGACCTGTTGGTCCTGTCCTTTGCGTGGTGTTCTAGGCAAGTCCCACAGGAAGGTGGCCAAGGGAACAACCCATGAAAATCTGGAGGTCTCTTGGCTTACCTGGAATCATTTCGGGCTTCTGTCTAAGGAGACGGAAGTCTGGGAGTCACTGCTGAAACTGCTGCCCATGCGACCTGGTCAAGGATAGAATAGAACTGAATTCAACTTTATTGTCAATACACTGTCACAAGTACAAAGCAATGAAATGCAGTTTGCATAAATATTTATTTACATGTGCACTGAGACTATGCATGTATGATAAATACATGCTTAAAGATAAAGATACATACATACACAGGAATGTTAAAGAGAAAGATGACCAATCCAAGTATTTCTTTTTGATTAATGTCATCTTTGAACTAAATTATAGTTTATCTTTCAGAACAGAACCAAAATTGAATGTCGACCAGAAACAAATTTCAGACTACAGAGAAGACAGACTGTCATCCATCTTTAAGCACAGATGGTAGCTTGTAATCAGACTTTCCTAAAAAAGAGCAGCATTATGATGTAAGCCAGTTATGTATTTTAAATTTAACAGTGGTTAATTTTATTTTTATTTAGTTTTGACCTTTTTTCCTTTTATTTGGTTAGTTTTAGTTTTTTAGAGTAGGTTTGCTAGTTTTAATTGAGTATTTTACTAATACTTAGTTTTCATTTACTTTTTATTAATCCTAGTGCTAGAATTCCCCCTAAGGGGGAAAACACATTTTCTTTTACAGAAATACTTAAGCTTAGCGCCAAAAGAGCAGAAAGATGGCAGATGTCCAGGTGCAGGGCGAAAGAGAGCGGAGCAGGGGAGCCAGCTGACTGAGACAGGGAGCTCGGTTGACAGAGAGAAAGGAGGACAACGTAGCGCTTCTGATGGTGTGGCGGGTGTGACAGTGTGTGTTTGAGGAGGAGACAGAGAAAGGCACAGTGGCTCAGAGACGAATCACGCCGTTAATTTCATGATCATGCGATGTGACCAAAAAAATGACAGATTTTAATAGAGTGAATGTTGTGCGTTTAATAGCAAAAAGGAAGTGTTTCTCACAGATGGCAAATTAAGGGTTAGGCTGCTTTTTTTTTTTAGCTTAAATGCAAAATACTTTTATACTTTTTTAAATCTTGGTATAATTACTGCTCTAAGTGGGTCACTGTCAGCTAAACACATGTTTTAGAGTCTCTCTACTCCCGTTAACGATTAATAGATTATTAAATTAGCTGACAATTATTTTTTTAAATAATCGATTAATCAGTTTTTTCGATAGTTTCAGCCCTATTTTCTATGCAGCAGTAAAGCCCCCCCATCAATGGACTCTGGACAAGAAAGCATTTAAAGCCATGAAATAAATTAAACCCTGTATTTTATCTTTCCTCTGCTTTTTACCTTCAACAAGGACTGTTGCTCAACTCGGCAAGCAATTCCCTTGAATTAAAATTGTTATCTTTTTCTGTGTTGGAATATATCTACAAAACATGTATATCTATAAGATGTGTTGCTTTTGTTTAGTGCTGAGAAAAATCCAAATAAAATCCCTATCTCAATTGTGATTTTTTGTCAAAATGGTACAGCCCTAGCTTTAATTACAAAAGTACTGTTTGGGTCAACATGTGGTTTATTTGCCAGGACAGAATTCAGTGTTTGTCTCTGGACTCAGGCCAAATCTCTGATTAAAGACCAGAAAGGTTAGACCTATAAGGAGAAAGAGGACTTCTGAACACATCTTTGCCGTCTACGATTTAATACCTCTGCCAATTCATTCAGGGAAAACACATTGCAGACAGTCACTTCATGAAACAAGCGTTTAGGCTTGCCAAGGATCCCTTTCAAAATTTCAACCTTTTTGTTTCACTACCAGTTACCCTTACTGAATCCTCTGAAGACAGATATAAGACCAGCTTGGCTCTTATTAGATTTAGCGGAGGAGATTACTGTGCTGCCATAGAGCCATAAACAGATTATTATGGTTTTAATTTGGTCTCAAAGGTTAAAGAGACATTAAGTGATCACTACTTATCAAGCTGAATACCTGCCTGTAAATTGGATGACAGTCTTGGCCTTAATTGTGTGTTTGCTGTCAGTTCTGTTGGCTTTTTAACTCTTAGTTCTAAATGTGATCGTGAAGTGACACCAATTTGGTGGGGATGTATTTAGTTCCTGGAGGAGAGTTTCTCTGGGTTAGTGAGTGATGAGCACAGTCTCATGTCCAGGGTAGTGACAGCAGAGGGAGAGCCAGGCATCTCATTAGTGCAGGAAAAAGCTCCACAGGAAGCTAATTCAGCATCCAAGTTACCATGCCAACGGCTACACTCAGCCATTAATAGCAGATCTCCTCCCAGAACAGGTGTGATGAGAGAGTTTGGAGCCCAAATAGTCACCTCATCCCTACAGATGGGACTTCAGTTTTCCATTTCTTCTTTGTTGGTAGAAATCGCTTCCCCTCCAGTTTTTCTCTCTTTTGCTGATGTTGTCTTCCTCTCTGAGTTTTATGACCCTGGCATATCACTTACTACAGAGAGGTTGTTAAAGCATGCAGATAACTCCCTTCAATAAAGATATGTTTGGTCTACACATGCAGCATGGCTTATCAGATGTTTACCTACATTAAGTCTGATTCCAATTCGAAAAGATCAAAGTTCATACCAGACCTTTGCATGTTATGTATTAATGCTATTATTGCATTTATGGATCTTTGTGCCCATTTTGATTAAATGTGCTTTAATCTTTTTTTATTGTTCAAGTAGAGTTACTCTCCAATCACTAATCATAGTAAATATTTCTTATTTGGACACCAATTTGTGTGTATTTTGGGGTTTATGTGATAAAATAGGGGTCTGTTTATTTAGTTATGGTTTAAGCTAACTCTAAAAGCTAAAGTTGATCCATAATAGAATTCTTTATTCTTCAAATTTCCAAGGCATTAAATTAACAGATGCATTTATAGAGTAAATTGGACACAGATGGTGTGTTTACTGCATTTAGTGTCAGCAGAGTTCAGAGGGGGGTGAACATTTTTGAAGTCGCACCAGTCGCCCTCTTCTGGCTATCTGAGGGCAGAACAGAACCATTCCTGGTCTCTGTGGTTCTGTATGTGCTCAAAGAAAGTTGGGTTCAAATGGTTGAAAACAAACCTTTTTACCTTGCACCTGTCAGGAATGATGGAGATCCTACCCGACCGCTGCACCACGATAGCCAAGAAGGAGCTGGTTTACGCCGGCACGGTGGGCCTCATCTGCTGGCTGTCTGGCATCGTTTTCATCAACCGCAAGAAGACAAGCGATGCCAAGAGTGTCATGGCAGACGCTGCCAAAACCATGCTTGACCAGCAGGTAATCAAACTGTTTAGGAAACACATAGGGTTGCATCTTAATCTTGAGGTTCTTTTTGGCCGAGGTTTGGTTTTAAATCACACTCCTCCTCTGTTTAACATCTCTAGATTCGATTGTGGGTTTTCCCAGAGGGAACACGCAACCAGAATGGGGATCTGCTGCCCTTCAAAAAGGGAGCTTTCCACCTGGCGGTGCAGGCACAAGTAAGTGTGTTTCACCTATTGTCTGCTGATGATACGTTTCATTTCCTTTGGAGTGGTCCTGTCTGCGTCTCCTCAAACTGACCCAGAGTCACACTTTTAGTTCTGTTATCCACACCCTCATCTTTGACTGAAGGGGCTCGGGCGGCTCTGGCTGCTTTCCAGGAAACTTTGCTCAAACTTTGGCTTACAGAAAAGCGATAGGCCGCTCACCGACACATGGGGGAGCCAGAAGTCTGATGTGGAGCACAGCCAAGTTATAATTCAGCCTTATTGGCTACATTAGATTACAGCATCTGCTTTCAGCACAGACCTCTGTAGCACTTTTGTTTAGGAAACCCTGCTTTGATCGTCATGCACATTGTTTTCTATTCTTTTATTGCCTCAGATTTTTAGAGCAAGGGTGAGCAGAGCTTTCAACACAGATTGACTGCCATGTAGTTCACAGCTCAGCTGTGTGCGCCTATGATCTTTAGGCTCTGCATGCCTGCAGGTGGGAGGTCTCCGTTCTGTCGTTGGTGTTCGATAGCGCACATGCAGGCTCACACAGGTGGAATGAATTAAGAAAACATGCTGTTGAATAGAAATCTGGCGTGAAAGCACAGCTTTCTTCAACCTTGAAAACAATACTAAATATGTGTGGCGAAGCTAATAGTTCTATAAGTTTCCGCTAAAGATTGGTGTCTGTTAACTTATCAGGAGTTTTTTGCTTCAAATGAAAATACTTTGCAGAAGTTTTTACGCCAGAGATTAACCTCCCCCCACATTTATTTAGTTTTTTTTTAACGCAGATGCTGATTGGTTTTGATGTTAGTCTTACTGAGAATTAATAACTTAATTTCATTATTATTTAAACTATTCTTTAAGCCAGTGTAGCTTCTGAGGCTGTTGAAATTGTGGTCTTTTTTCCTTTGCATAGAAGCCAAACATAAATCTTTCTCTCTGCATTCTCTCTGTCATCAGTTTTGAGTCTTGCAGACATATTGTATTGGTTTTAGGGCTGGGTTTGGATCATTGTAACTTGTGTGAAGTCTTTTCGCTGTATTTCTAGCTTTGTTTTTAGGGTGGTTATCCAGGAAGAGGAACCTTTTTCCTATTTATATTTGTTGCAGCTCCTATCAGGTTTCCTCCAGGAACTGAACTGTATTTGCCTTCATTCATCCTCGTGTTGACTCACAATGCTGCCTCTACCATGTTTCACTCTCAGGATTCATAGTACTTATGCAGTGGTGTCTTTACATGGGGTCTCCTTTCCTTTATTGTTTCCTGGCTCTACATATGTGAAGGAATGTCTCATTACCAGCTCTCTGCAGGGATTCACACCAATGGCTTTCTGTTGTCGGTGTTCCAGAAAGGCCTAATTTGTTGAATGCATGGTTAACCGTTGTCCTGTCATCAGATTCTCCCACCTGAGCTGTGGTTTCTATTATTGGTGGATTGAGCACCGCACCAGATGTCCAGACATGGAAATATTATTCATAGAAAAACAGAGCAGCCACATTCATACAAAGATGAATCGGGACCCGTCGCTTTGTTGGAAGGCATTTGGTCGCACTGGATTTTATTTTGGGTTATGAAAGTAAATGGGGCTGAACGTATCACATCAGTCCAACTTAAAACTAGAATATTTTTTTTCTTACTTTAACTAAGTACATTAAGTTGTGGACTTTACTGTTGTAGAATGTTAGCTGGAAGGACTTTGGAAGGAATTCGTACTATGAAAAATCTGCTTTGTAATGTTCCTTTTTTTCCCTTTGCTCTGCAGTCTTTCTGTTTGTACTCTGCCTCATTGAGAGGAAGCAGGACAGCCCCCAGGGGGCGACACGTTTGGCTCAGTTTGGGCCCAGAGAGCTCCTCAGCCTCTCTGTGATCCAGAAGAGATGAAAATGTGTCGAAGAATGTGTTTTGACAATATTCCCACTTCTGTCTCCTTTTTTTTCTGTCTTTGTTGCCTCCCTTTCAGGTTCCTATCGTTCCTGTAGTCTTCTCCTCCTACAACAGTTTCTACCTTCGAAAAGAAAAGCAGTTCAATTCAGGTAACCCCGCTTTAAAAGTTGCTCAGTACTTCTGCACATGTTTACACAAATTACAATTAGTATTTGAGGTTTATTTTCTCTGCAGGAACCATCAAGTTGAAGATCCTTCCAAAGATTGAGACAAAGGGAATGACCTCAGAGGATGTGTCATCTCTGTCCGACCTGTCGCATAGCCTGATGCGTACCGCGTTCCTGGAAATCTCTGACTCCGTACCCCAGAGCAACGGGCCCCTAAAGCACTGAATATTGGCCCCCGCCACCCCTGACGGAGACCCCCCAGCCGCCCAAGACCTCTCTGCTTTTGCCAAGTTTGTCCCGCGGCCCGCCCAGGAAATGACACAGGGGCGTATTTGTCCTCGTCCAGCGAGCCTCTGGCCTCGATCGTACAGCTCAGTCAGTCCTGACCCTCGGCGCCGCTCTGCTCGGCGCGAGCGGAGTGACGGACGGCAAGCCGAACAGTATGGATGTGTCGCTCATGCATGCCTTTCAGATGACTCTGTCCACCTTCACTGTAGCTGTGTACTTTGGCTTCATCGTCCCAGTTAATATTAATTCTTTTGCCTTTCTCTCTGCTTTTGTAGCCATCTGACTTCTGTTAAACACATAAACTTTGGCTGTTTTTTTTTTTTTTGCGGGGTAATCATAACATCACTAGATATTTATTTGCTCCTATCAGATACCCTTATTTCATTTCGTACCCCATCATCTGTCTGCTTTTTAATGTCCTGAGACATTTCTGCATTCCAGTCTGCTTAAACGGCCAATGGAGCGGGATCTCCATGAGAGGTAGAGCAAGCGGAGGAGACGACACGAGTTCAGTTCTTCTGTCATATCGGCTGAACTGCGTCAGAAAGCAAGGATTGCAAGATGCCGTGTTTAACAATCGCACCCCATCTGTGATAGATGAACAAGCTTAGTAAACTGATCGGTGTTCTGTGTTTGTGGTCTTTCCAAAGCAGCAGAGAAAAAAAGAAAACTTGGCGCTGCGATCAGCCGCAAATCTCCTTTGGCTTCATTTGCTTTGTTGCTGTATTTATTATTTCCCCATAGAATTAGATTCTTTTTTTTCTTTTCTCCTTGCTTTTTAAAAGCAATGGCTTTTCCTTTCCTTAGGAAAAATCCAGAGGACATATTTAAGATGTCGAAAGGTGACTTTGTGTCTTGAAGTGATGCCGTTTTAGCATTACAGTTCCAAAGTGCAAGCTACCTGCTGTGCCATGACATTTCCTATAAAAATTCAAAGCAATGTTTATTAATGACCTTCTTTTCCCAATAATATGAAGCTGATCTAATAGACTAATTATCTCTCTCAATTAGCTGACCTGTACTTAGATAACAATTTAAGTTGGAAGTGTATTTTGATTGACTGAAGCAAGTTTTTCCTTTCTTCTTTATTTAAAGTAATGTTTTAGTTGGGATGTTTTTGATCTAAGTTATGGCTGAACTTCTCTAGAGAATTGATTGCATTATTTAAAAGAAATTGTGAAGATTTTGGCCTTATTTTTGTTTTTTTGTTGTTGATTTTTTTCTGGCTTTTCTGTAGTTTTTTTTTTTTGTGCCGTACTGATGCTAACTTCTAACCTCCTCAAACTGAGTTCCTTTATTTTTACATCCAGGTTTTACTCACTGCCTTCACACTGTCACTTGTTTGGCTCATCAAACACTGTTTAAGAATGTACTGCAGGGTGTAGGATCTTTTTGTTTGTTTTTTTGCTAAAATACCCTCTAATTTTTTAACAACCCCTTAAAGATGAGTTTTTTTTTTTTTAAAGAGTAGCAGATCTTTCACTTGAACTACCTCAAACGAGGTTTAGTTCCTGTTTAGTTTTTGTGTTTAAATTTAAACAAGAAGCTATTTTCAGGTAATTTTCTAAACCCTTCTTTCTGTAAAACCATCACGTGTTTTCTTCTTCTCACATTGAAAAGTGGCTTATAGAAAATTGACACCATATCCCTGTTTGTATTTATGCAAAAAGGGAACAGAAGTTATTGGATTCCAAAGTCCCTTAGCACTCTGATTAATATGTAAAACAGAAATTAAAAGAATGCATTTTTTATTTTTATTTTGTAGAAGCTCAACAGTTTTTTTTACAAGCTGGTTTTCAAAGGAAGACATTTCAGAGTGAGGAAGACTTTGACTACAGGTGCTGGAAAATTCTCCTTAGACCAGAATTCACAGACCTTCCACAGATCCTATTGGATCTTAAAATAATGATGAAAATGTATATTATTTTTATATACCTTGGTCCAAAATTTTTAATATTTATCCTCCTGAAAGACCAAATTTCAGTTTACAGGTAGACTCCATCAGATTTTTAATTTAAATGTTCAAAGATTTACCTTTAGAAGAAAAACAAGCCCACAGCATCACAAGTGTGGGGGGGTGGGACGCTCCTACACAACCCGGTGTTATGTAGATACTCTGGTCTCTGGAATATTTATGGAAGCTGTTGGTGCCGGGGTTAAAATAACCAACTATTTCATAAATTAAAGATTTTGAGTTTGGAAAAGCTTTTAGTAAATCTTTATTTAAAGGTGCCAATGTAACAAGCAGGGTGCTGTTTGGTTCTGCTTGGTTAGAGGAGGAATGTTCTGTACAATACAGCAGGTTTAGCTCCTAGAAGATGTTTCTTTACCCTGTAGATTTTATACTTGTTCACAGTTCATCAGAGGGACTGATCCATGGATTTATCTAAACATAGAAACTCTCTATACTGCTAATCAGGTAGTTTTTAGGGATGTATGTCACTACTAACAGTTCTCTTCAGTAGTTTAGATCTGATTGTCTTTTTCTTTGCAAATATTCGTTCTATGCTGCAACTTATCCAAATGGTTAAAAGCACGCTACCAAACTGGGCTATTCCAAAAATGGGGAATATATTATGGTTTATGTTTAAATGTTAAATTTCAAGCTTATTTCCTGGTTTTGATTTTTATTTGTGTCTTGATGTCGATGCAGTCAAGTCTGCAACAAACTTTGTGTTCATTCTACAGGCACTTCTTTATAATTAAAGATCATCCCAACCTGATTAAAGCACTTTTCCTTCTGGATTTTGAAATGGAAAAATATAAATATATATATATACCTATATATGTTTTTTCTCTTTTTCTTTGTAACCAAAGTGACATCCAGATGCGTAGCTGAAATGGAGCAGAGATCCTGCAGAGCCTTGTGTGAGTGATGTATGTATGATCTGTTGCCCTGTTTTGCGTTGCAGGAAAATAAACTTTTTTTTTTCTTACCTGTCTGTCCATGGAAGTTATTTTTCTTTTAATCTTTTTGAGAAACTGAGCAACTGATTTTAGACATGTATACCACACTAAAGAGTGTTATTATACCCCTCTAGCTGAGTAACATGACAATAAGAACCATCTTTAACTTGATCAGCAAAACCTAAAGTTATGTTTTTGGAAAATAACGGCAGTCATCCAGGGAAACTTTTTGGGAACGTCTGTATGATTAGTCCGTTACTAAGGGCAGTTGTAGATACTGATGTTGATTGTAAGGGTTCAGTTATACATTTATCAATTTAGAAAACATTTCTTATTAAAACTATGTAATTCCCATTTTTTTAAAGACTTAAACTTGAATTTTCATCTGTGAGACAGTGAAAAAATATTTAAAATTCTGAGATAAATCTATTAGTTTCTGACAAATTCTAATTATATATATATAAAATTATACAGGTGCTGGTCATAAAATTAGAATATCATGAAAAAGTAGATTGATTTCAGTAATTCCATTTAAAAAGTGAAACTTGTTTATTATATTCATACATTACATACAAACTCATATATTTCAGATGTTTATTTTGTTTAATTTTGATGATTACAAATGACAACAAATGAAAATCTCAAATTCATCATATCAGAAAATTAGAATATTACTGAAGACCAATAAAAACAAAGGATTTATAGAAATGTTGGCCAACTGAAAAGTATGAACATGAAAAGTATGAGCATGTACAGCACTCAGTATTTAGTTGGGCCTCCTTTGGCCTGTATTACTGCAGCAATGCGGCGTGGCATGGAGTCGATCAGTCTGTGGCACTGCTCAGGTGTTATGATAGCCCAGGTTGCTCTAATAGTGGCTTTTAGCTCTTCTGAATTGTTGGGTCTGGTGTATTGCATCTTCTTCTTCACAATACCCCATAGATTTTCTATGGGGTTAAGGTCAGGAGAGTTTGCTGGCCAATTAAGAACAGGGATACCATGGTCCTTCAACCAGGTACTGGTAGCTTTGGCACTGTGTGCAGGTGCCAAGTCCTGTTGGAAAATGAAATCTGCATCTCCAAAAAGTTGGTCAGCTGCAGGAAGCATGAAGTGCTCTAAAACTTCCTGGTATGTGGCTGCGTTGACCCTGGACCTCAGAAAACACAATGGACCAACACCAGCAGATGACATGGCACCCCAAACCATCACTGACTGTGGAAACTTTACACTGGACTTCAAGCAACGTGGATGAAGTGCCTCTCTTCTTTTCCTCCAGACTCTGGGACCTTGATTTCCAAAGGAAATGCAAAATTTACTTTCATCAGAGAACATGACTTTGGACCACTCACCAGCAGTCCAGTCCTGTTTCTCTTTAGCCCAGGCAAGACGCTTCTGACGCTGTCTGTGGTTCAAGAGTGGCTTGACACAAGGAATGCGACAGCAGAAACCCATGTCTTTCATACGTCTGTGTGTGGTGGTTCTTGAAGCACTCACTCCAGCTGCAGTCCACTCTTTGTGAATCTCCCCCACATTTTTGAAGGGGTTTTGTTTCACAATCCTCTCCAGGGTGCGGTTATCTCTCTTGCTTGTACACTTTTTTCGACCACATCTTTTCCTTCCCTTCGCCTCTCTATTAATGTGCTTGGACACTGAGCTCTGTGAACAGCCAGCCTCTTTAGCGATGACCTTTTGTGTCTTGCCCTCCTTGTGCAAGGTGTCGATGGTCGTCTTTTGGACAACTGTCAAGTCAGCAGTCTTCCCCATGATTGTGTAGCCTATAGAACTAGACTGAAAGACCATTTAAAGGCTTTTGCAGGTGGTTTGAGTTAATTAGCTGATTAGAGTGTGGCACCAGGGGCCATCAATTTTGAACCTTTTCACAATATTCTAATTTTCTGATATGATGAATTTGAGATTTTCATTTGTTGTCATTTGTAATCATCAAAATTAAACAAAATAAACATCTGAAATATATGAGTTTGTATGTAATGTATGAATATAATATACAAGTTTAACTTTTTAAATGGAATTACTGAAATCAATCTACTTTTTCATGATATTCTAATTTTATGACCAGCACCTGTATGTGTAGATGTAAATAGCCTCTGAGTTTGTAGTTAAGATTTCTATAAAAAAAAAATAATAATATAATAGACTCCTTTATAATAAAAAAAACTGGTATTTTGTAATTCTAAAAAGTTTTTCCACATCCCCTTTGTACACATTGAATAGTATTTAAATTTGATTCAGGATTTTTTTTGTTTTTATATTTTTACCTCTTGGTAAAGATCACATGACATCAGCTCACAGTTGCCTCAGACTTTATCCATCTGATTATGCAATCTGTGCAGCTCAAATGCAATATCTAAACGAACATTTTTAAGTAAGGGTCAGGGTTACCTTGACCAACCACGCTGTTATCACTGCAGCAACTGTACTCACTGCCATAAACCCAGGTTACTAAAGGTTGAAATGGTTTTGAGGACACTTATGGAAAAAAAATGAAAATAAAAAAAAATTCAGCTATGACTTTTTTTCTTGTTTCAACATACCATTTGGTGCTTTAAAAAATCTCATTAGGACATTCAATTTAAATAAACGTATTAATCCCATATAGAATATAAAATATAGCTTTTAGATGTTTCTTTTAGTTATTGTCTGTCTTTCTTAAAGCAGATCTAGAGAGGCTGCATGAATGGGGCCCGCTCCCTCACTCAGTGGTGTCCTGAGTGATGAGCCATAACTACCATGAAATTAAATATTGGTCAATCCAGGTTTAGTTCATGCAGCTCACTCAGCCCACAGATCTCAGCACATCAGGCGACATCAGGATCAGCCCACGTCAGCTGATAAGCTCTAGATAACCGTATTCAGGCCGGCCCACATTTGCTCCAAACCTTAACCCAGCTGGGGGACTTTTCCTCTACAGTCGTGTGGTATTTTTTCCAGCAGTGCTGGTTAGTTTGCTGTACCTTGGAGAAGTATTCATACCCATGCTTCACATTTCAGTCACATACTTGTGTATATGATAGAGCACAAAGAGAAGCTCTGGTCTAGAGTTGAACTATTTTAGCATAGAAATGTATTAAACTAGTATTACTCATTCATGTTTCCAGAGCAAATTTTTCTGTCTCATGACTAAAGGCTCTCTCCTCGTCCTGCTCTTGCAGTTTGCAACTCATAGCTGTGCGGTCACTAGATTATCTCACCTGAGTGTCTGATTTCTGCAGCTCCTCCAATGTTAACATGGGCCTCTCACCCTGCATATCAGATATCCTGCCTCTCATGACTGATGGATTTAACAGGCTTCTGTGTAATGTTCAAAGCTTGGGGCAGTGTTTTATTAATCCCCCTTAAACTTGTCTGTAGCTTCCTATCTGCCCGCTCTACTGCTGTCCTTGGTCTAAGGCTGCTGTCCACAAATCTTCACAGTTTGATGTTAAAGTTGTGCATTTTTAACATTAATATGTCTTTGATCATGTTGAATCCTGTTTAACCCTTTATAGGGCTCTCAGTGAAACACTTTGAAAATCTAAATTTCAAGCCAATAGTGTTATTGGAATCCAAGACATTTGTAACATTCAAAAAACATGGATATTTTGATGGCAAAATGAATGTCAATGTAATAACAAAAAAAGTCAACTTGCCAGAATAAAGAAACACTTTTTTTTGTTGTACTACATAACATTAGAGGCATTAATGCTGATAGTGGCACTTACATTTTTTAGTTTATAAATCTAAATATAATTGTTAATTAGGCTTATTAATTTTTTTACTTTACTTTTTAATTTTTCAATTAGCTTTATACCATTTCATTGACTTGTTAACTTTTTTTTTCAACTTAATTTCCAGTAGGTAATATATCATTCAAGGGCTCATCTAATTGGTCAAATTAGATGTAAGGGGGACGCGAGGGATCAAAAACAGTAACTTGCCTTATAAAGGGTTAATCATGATAATTACTTGGGAAAAAAATGGAAATACTTGAAATTTTATTGTATTTTTGATTGAATTATTTCTGTTGTTGTATAATTTATGATTTCTATATATCGAACCTGCTGTATGTTTTTATTTTTGCACATTTTTTTTTGCATTTGGAACAACGTAAAAACCACAATATATTTCTGCTGTAATTAAACTGCATACTAGTTTATATTATTACTTTAATCACACAAATAAGAGACTGTAAAAGGTACAGAGCTGCATTAAGTTTATAGTGGGAATGTTTATGATCAGACCATTGCAGTATTGATTGCAGGGCCCAAAAATCAAAGATGGCTAAGGGCCCTGTAAGTGTGGGCAGGCCTTGCTCTAAGGTTACAAAAAAATAGCTTAATTTATGCTTACGTTTATATCTGACAAATGCAAGCCACACTTTTCAGATGTTTCTTTCTAAAACTCCATTGAAAAATAAAAAATTTTCTTTGACTAATGCAGAACTTTGTGTTGCTTTGTCACATAAAAACATTTTGATAAACAAAATGTGATAGTATAGAATGTAATAGTATGCAACCAATTATGCTAAATCTGTATAGATGTTTCATTAAACATTAATTTGTGTTTGTACTGAGAGAGCACGCAGGCAGCGTTTTTGGATTCAAACTTTTATTACAAAACCGTTACAAAACTAGAAGCACTTAGGAATGCCTATGAGTGATCATAATTTAAATAGATTAAAATAAAAAAGATGTGTGCAAAGGCCCCAGGGCGAGGAGGGGGCCCCTGACATGGGAGAAGCCGACTGCTCTGATGCACGTGGCTATACGACCGACACAGGGAGGCGATGAAGCGCTGTGGCCGACTCCTGCTGCAGGTACTGTTGAAAAATCAAGACCCAGGATGAACAGAAACCATTCTTTTAATTTCTTTTCTCTCTTTTTTTTTTTTTTTGGAATGGTGTGAAGAAAAATCTCCGAAACGTTTGTGCGGTGCGTGCGTCACAGCATAATAATGAGATGATTCTTGATGCGTGGGCTAATTCTCCTGACAAGAACCTAAAAAAAGAAGAATATGGAAAGAGTTACAATTGGTGTTCATCGTTAAAATAAAAAAAATGCATAATCAGAACAAAATACATTAGATTTGAAGATTAAAGAAACATTTTGGGGCCCCTCCAGAGTGGCAGTCCTCCCCAGCACAGCTGTTCTGCTGCCTCTGGAGACATTCTAACAAACCAAAAGCTTTCAAGGTTGGATTTTTTGAAAGCCAGATGAGTAATAATAACCATTAAAAAAGTTTTATTTGGATAACTTTTGACTGATTGTTTGAAATATATGAAACCTTTAAAAAAAGAGTAAATATTTTTGGTCCCTAGATGACATATTTGGCAGCAAAACATCTGGACACATTTGAACTGACTCCTATTTAATTAGATTAAAACTTGAGAGCAGATACATCACTTTGCATAGTTTTATTTGACTGTTTCACACAACCTTTAGAGCAAGACATTATGACATTAAATTCTCAAGATTTAATCATCCTATTATTTTATTATTTATACATTATGGATGAAAAGTATTACATTATTTGCTATCGTTACATCTCAGATCTTAGGGGCCATTTTGAGTCCTCCTTTCATGGAAATAATTTGGAATTTATGAGCACAAGACGCAATCAAAAGTCAACATTTGGTTGCTCACATGTGCCCAGACGCTCCTCTAGGAAGCCTATCTGCTCGCTGAGGGAGTCGATGCGGTCCAGTTGGCGGAAGGAGTGGGTCAGCAGGGTGGTTTTCTCTGGGAAGTTCTCATCCAGCGACAGCGGGAAGAAGCTACTGAAGGGCGCCAACACCAGCTGCAGCTTCTTTAAGTAAAAAGGATAAAAGATTGTTCACTTAGAGGGAAAAAAAAGGATTTTATTAGGATTTTGTACATGTATAAAACGATCAGGTTCCTCTGGAGCCGGTTTGGATGCCTTTCGTTAGTTTTCTTACGCACCTTTTCTAGGATTTCCACTCTGTTCCTCAGACTCTGGACCTCCTCTGTGACGTTCTCCGCCAGAGTGAAGCTTCCTCCTGAGGAAAAACCCCCCACAAATGAATCACTATATATTGTGTGTCAGTTCAAGCTGTGGTTGGCAGGGGGTTAGATCTCTACTACAGACAGCAACATCTTAAAATCAACAAAAAAACTCTGATGCATGAAAATTAAGGGAATTTCCGTCAAAGGTAGAGGAATCCTATACTTCTTCAAAAATATTCGTTTTACCGCTTTAGAACGACCAACTTAAATCTATTTTATTGGGATTTGATGTGAATAGACCGACAAAACTAGTGTATAATTGCAAATTGTATGGAAAAGATGCAGGGACATGGTGGAGAGACAGAGAGACCAAACCCACTTGGTTACGATGGAGAGTAACTATGAACATCTGCCACAGATTCTCCTTTGGATTTCATTGTGAACTTTCACTGGTCACTTCTAACTTTATGGGCTTTGATCCAGAGCAGGGAGTCCCAGCATTGTGCTGAAAAAAAAACTCCTGGGCCACAAAGGTTTACTTTGATTGATAACAATAAATCTGATGCTTACTATGAGGTTAAAATAGGAACCAAACACCTGGATAATGAAAAACAGACTTTTTTTGTTTGAAAAAATCTTCAAACAAAGCCTTCTGGGACAATGGTCGGACAAAGTCATTTAAATGGTAACAACTGGAACCTGGGCTGAACTTCAGATGATCCTGATCTGCTTTAAATCCTCCTGTTGTTGAACTGCTGGAAGCCAAACTTCTGCCACAGTCTCACCTTTTTTTCTGGGGTTTTCCTCCAAGGTTTATTCATCTTCCCACCATCTTTGACCGGCTTTCCTATCTTAGCTGAAGAGATGCCTTCCCACAGCATTATATAACACTACCGTGCTTTTTTTCATACAAACTGTGAAGGCCTAAATAGAGCAGCTGCATACATACAAAACTATAATTAGTGATTTATAATTTACTAATAAAGAGCCTTCCAAAGGTTGGCAATTTGAGTTCAAACTTAGAACTATGATCATTTTTTTTTCTTTAACTTTGTAATTATTCACAGCTTTTCTTTTTGCACCACTTCTAAGCAAGAAGGGAGGTTCAGGAGGAACAGAGGATTCTGCGAGGCACTGCAGACATGGGAACAGCTAGAGGGGCCAAAAACGATGCTACCAGAAATAGACAAGCAAATGCTCAACCCTCCTGTGAATCCGGAGCGCCTGGCTCGATGCCCTCAAAGGGGGAACGTTCCTTCCAGCAGAGAAAAAGCTCTGATCGAGATGGAGATTCAAAGAACAACCCCCCCACCCCCACCCCCCACCCCCACCCCCGGCCTTTCCTTCCACTTCTCTGGTTGCACCAGAGAAGTGGAAAGGAGAAAAAGAGGAAAGGATGGGGGGGAGGGGACTTCTTGGGTGCATGACCCCCAGCAGACAGAGTTGATGGAGCTGGAATCAGAGCATAAGCGTTAGCCAAGAAGAGAGTGAGGTAAAAAAAAAAGGAATAAAAAGGCGGAAAAGGCTGAAAATCCCAAACGCAATCCAAGACTCTTGGCAGAGAGACGTCAGACTTCTGGGCATCTAAACCCTCTGTTTACATTCTGGATCTCCATCAACATCCCTTCCGACATGTATATGGGAACAGATATTTGAAAGCCGTCTCTGGAGCGAAACGCCTCATCTGCATCCAAGCTCCAAGAGCAGACACGCTCCTTTTAACAAACAGCTCCTCTAAGGGATCTCTACGTCATCTTAGACCTGTCATATTTGCTGCTTTTCACCCCGTCCTCTGTGCATTGTTCGCTGACTCAGCAATCCATCACGCCGCCATGGAAGGTGAACTTTTGGAGCTTGTGGTCAGTTTCCAGGAGAAAGTCTGATAAATGGAGGGGAGTTTGGAGGAGGGCCTTGGAGATTTGGCAATCTCTCATTTATGCACAGATTCTTTTTTACTTTGAATGCAGGAGACAGCACCCCCCCACCCCCCACCCCCCACCCCTTCCAAAAAAAAAAAAGCAAAACAAAACAAAAAATGAGTTTTGATTTCACAGTTAGGTAACTCACAAAAAAAAAAGTCCTGAAGCTGAAAAGAGCCGGGAGAAATGACGCAGAGGAACGTTTGCATGAAGGTTTTTCTTTTTCGGTGCATAATTTCCCCAAAGAGCAATAATGCAGACTTGGAATCAGACTTTAAAGGAAAAATCCTGAGGTCAACAACATTAGTAGACATAAAGCAGGGTAAGAGGGGGTGTGTGTGTATTGTTTTGTGGCCACATTGCCTAGCAGAGCTATTCACGAGGACTTGAACTTTTTCACATTTGCTCACAATAATCCCCTCAACCCTATTTTACCTAAATAAAAATCTAATGTATTCGTCTGTTGCCAGAAGTGAGGATATAGAAAGTAAACAACAATCATTTGCTATCGACTCATAATGGCTCCAGCTGTTTTGTTAAAGACCTCAGAGGGTTGTTAGAGCATCTTAGAGAACAAACAGCATCTTGGAGACTGAGGAACACAGCAGACAAGTCAGGGAGCCCGTAGAAGAAAAACATGTTGAAGAAAAAAAAAATACCGCTATTTTTACAATCCATACCAGAGGTGGGTTAGTTCCATAGAATTATATGCTTGTCTTCGTTAAAGAATTTTATTTAAAAACTTAAGACAGTTCAAAATATGAATCTATACTCTTATTTTTTTATTTTTTTTAATAAATGGCCCCTGATTTTTTTTTAAAGATTTTTAACCCTTTTCATTGTTTATGTGATTGTCTATGTTTTTGCTAATAAATTTCTGTCAAAAACAAGAAAAAGGCTTCCTTATAGTTTAGGACAAAACCTAAATTTAAAGGTCTGTGGAGGATTTTTGCAAATTTTTTAAAAGACCCGCCCTCTCTCCTTAAAAATAAATGCACATGCACAACACAGTACCTGCTCCCGAGAGGGAATGTCTATTAATTGTGTGTGTGAGAGCGTGCACAAGCCCATTTCTCCTCATGCACGCCCTTTTTAAAAGTTGCTGTTGGCATCGCTCATACAAGCTTACTTTCCAAAAGAAGTTTTGCAATTTTTCCACTATGTTAGACTCACCACCGCTAAGTGAAAATGGGGATGAGCACGTAAGATGGCCTTACGTAAACATATCACCAGAATGATTGACAATTGACAATCCGGAAAAAGACCATCCTCCACTATACCTTTAAGGAAGGTGGACTTAATGCCTAAGCCTAATTCATCCCCCAGCGGGCTTAGCCTAAACCTGACGTTATGGATCAGAGACCTAAACCTAAGATCAGTGGATTTATTATGACTTTGATTTAGGAACAGACTCCATTGATATAAACATGACAGCGTCTGCAGTACGGTACCATTGTCATGTCTTGGGGATGTTTATCTTAAGCAGAGATGGAAGCTGGGCAAAGGTGATGAAAGGATAAATGGACCTGATGGAAAGACTTGATACTGAGACAGAGGTTCCCCCTCTAGTAGGACAGAGACCCTAAAGAGAGCCAGAGCTGCATGGAAAGAAGGTTTAGTTTGAAGCATAATCATGTGTTAGGGTGGTCCAGTTAAAGTCCAGTCAGTAATAGCAATCTGGGGGTAAACCAGATTGCAGATCTTAGCAGAAATTCAACATCAAATCTGTCTGACTTTGAACAATTTCTGTTACCGAAACATTGCTCTGCCTTAAAAGTGAGGAAGATTAAACACAATTGATCTTTTTTTCTTCCCCCCCCCCCAGAAATGTGTTGAAACCCACATATCATTTTCGTTCCACTTCATAATTACGCACCACTTTGTGTTGATCCATCACTTAAAAGCCCAATAAAACACATTGCAGTTTGTGGATGCAGTGCAATAAACGTGGACTAAACACTTTTCCAAAGCACTGACAGACGCGAGAAGAACAAATACAAATAAATGTTTGGTCTAACGAGGAGGCGAACATTTCTGAGGGAACTGATGGAGTGTGTGGGGTGGAAATATGCCTGTATTAGCTCGGGATCTGGATTAAAGGCAGATGTTTGCTTCAGCAACAGGACTCACAGTCATTATCAAAGTCCAAATGATCCGAGTCTCACCACATGGAGCCAGCCTCACATAACACCAGTCTGGAGTCGGCACCAGTCGCAGTGCATTATTACTCACGGTACGAGTTGAGAGTGGCATAGCGCGTACCAAAAGTAATAATGGACCGCGAAGCTGGTCATGTTTTCTTCTTCTGTCCTGCTGCAGAACGTTGACACATGCCACTTCAGCTCATGCATGCATTCAATGCTCATTTACCCGCATCAGCGTGGCTCCCTGCAATCTGGTTGGGAGTCTTAGTAGGAGGAGGAGATGGAAGCTGGTGACAGGAACGTCCATCTCCAGCCAGCCTGAAGCCATCCCTGCAGGCACATCTGTAGCTTCCAGCTGTGTTAACGCACAGCTGGGTGCAGGGCTGCCGCCCACTGCACTCGTCAACATCTGTCAGCCAAGAAATCAAATAAATCAGTGGGTGCGATTATGGATTTCTGTGAAGGTGGAAGTGGTTTATTTTCAGCATACCGGTTTGGCACTGCTGTCCCGTCCAGCCAGGAGGACACGCACACTTATTGGGCTTCAAACAGGTTCCACCGTTAACACAGGGTTCTGCACACAGAGCTGGGAAACACATCCACAGTTATTAATCAGCCCTGATTCATGATCATTACTTTAAATGATTTGAACCTTTATAGGGAAACAAATTAAATTCCCCTCTGACTCCCACTGTTGTCTCCTATTGCTTGTTTTATGGCTCAGCCTCTAATCAGACCTTTCCTCTGAAGATATGAAAAAAATTAGAGGTGGGTGGACTATTTTATTTTTTTTATGTATGTATTATTTCCTATCAGATAATACTGAAAACAATTACAAATCAGATCTGATTTATATGGAAAACTCTAACTAAAAATACTCAAAGTTCACTTTAAACTCCCTTCAGCTCCTAACAGTCGACTTGCACATGTCTGTATGTTGTTCAATTTGCTCCCCCGTTAGTGATGTAAGACCTACATAGAACCAATTATATAATACAGAACTGTGTTTTCTTATTTTCGTCATCCTTCAAATGTTTTTTTATATTACTAAGATTTTTATTTATTTTTTCCTTATTTCATATATGCATGTATTTCCTTAATTAACTTTTTCATGCATTCCTAGCTATGAGAAGTGCTGAATTAAAACAGATTGATTTATTTTATTGGTAATATATGGTTTTAAATCCATTTATTAAACTACATTGCTATTTAAACTCATTGAAACTTTTTACTTTTCAAATTCAGTCTACTAAATAAATTCATAGTTGACCTAAATCAATAGAACACGTTTTGAACTGATCAGATATTTTGCCCTAAGAGCAATAATCATTGTGGTTTGTGCTAATGCTGAATGTAAACTGTTAAACTACCCTGATATTCGTTCATTCTGAATGGTTATTTATATTGGAAACAGAGAACAGCAATTATTTTCCTGTGTGAAACATGTTCAAAGAGCAGCACTTTTCTGGTCAGAGCAGCTGCTTAAAATAAGAATGAGACTACATTAAAATGCGATACTTAAACCACTGAAATAATTTGTTTTAGTTGTTTTATTAAAGGCTGTTGGTCTGACCAGAAACTTTTTAAATGTTTCAGTGTCGGCAAGAGAGGACAACATTTGGCGGAGAAACCGCCTCTACACTGCAAAAAATATAAATCTCAATAAGTTATTTTTTCTTAAAATAAGTGTGTTTTTCCTTGATTTGAGGAGGTAAGTAAGACACTTTGCCAATGGAACAAGACAATTTCCTTTTAAAATAAGAAAAAACTATTTTATCGTCTTATTTCAAGTAAATATTATCTAACTATCTTATTTTAAGAGTGAAAATACTCATTCCATTGGCAAATCATCTTATTTACCTGCTCAAATTAAGGCTAAATATACTTAATTTAAGCCATTTTTTACTTATTTCTGGATTGTTTTTGCAGTGTAGTCTTCATTTCGGCGGTGTCCGAACATCCGTCCTAACCTTTTTTTTTTTTTTTTGAGGTTTTTACAGCGTTTTTAAGCAGTGAGCTGACAGGAAAGGGGGTATGAAAGAGAGGGGAAGACATGCGGCAAAGGACCACAAGGTGGATTCGAACCCGGGTCGGCCACGTCGAGAACTAAGGTTTCGATGGATCATGCGTGCTTAAAAAACTGAACGCCCATGCGTGCGCCATCTTTATTTGTCGCCCCTGCTGGGCAGCGACAGTGTGCCGCTTTGGCAGCTAATATCTGCTTGTCTAATGATCATGATCACTACTTTTCAAGGTGCATTGTGGGAAATTTCAAGTCCACTAGACTTATGGCTTAACCATTATAAAGTACCCTATATATTGATTAGGATGGACATTCGGACACTGCGTTCCTGTTTAAAAAGCCCAGAGCAAACCTGACCGTTTTACAGCTACATTATATTGTGTTTCGACAATGAAAGATATTTTAAGGCGGTAAAAATGCCAAACTACCCGTTAGCTGCAGCTGACTCTGGATTTTGGCCAAATGAAGATAGAGGGGAGAGTTAGACCTTTTATCAGCATTTCACTTTTATGTCGGATACCTTGGTTGCAGTTGTGTGAGTGAAATCTCCGCCAGCCGGGGCAGCAGTCTGGGTAGAAATGCGAGGCCGACGCGATTCTGCTTACCAGCCGGTAAGCCAGGGAGTACGTAGTTCTGTGGAGGTGACAAGAGTCAGGGGTTACAGGTCAGTTTTAGGGGAGCAGCAGGACCTTCTGTCTGATCAGATAAATAGACGAGAATGTTAGCATTCAGTGGAGCAGACAAACAAGGGATTTTGGAAGAAGGTGTCAGGGATGAGAAGAGGGCAGAAATGATGCAAAGTCAGATCTGTTATCTACTATTCTGGCTTCAGGCTGTTGAGAACGTGGTTTGTTTGTTTTACCAGAGGAGGGGGAATTAAGAGCAATAAATTGAGGCTAAATCTAGAAACTGGAGACATGTGTGCAATAAGATCCAAGAAAACAGATAAAAAAAAAAGGGAAAGTGAGCTTTACTGAGAGAAAAAGTTAACAGGGATTAAAAAATGTGGAGAAGGTAAGGGGGCTTGAGAGCAGCTGGGAGGGTGCTAGTACGGAGAGTCCAAAATAAACAAGGCAGCGGTCTCTGCGGGCAGGCAGCTCATTTCCCGTCGTTACACAAAGTACTCGATATTTAGATTCCACTCAAACTATGTGCCACTGTGACCCACTTCTGTGTACAGTACGGATTTCTATGTGCGTGTGTGTGTTTTGGGAGAAAGGGAAGCTCATTTCACAACTGTTGCACCTTTTTCTCCTGCTCCGATGTTGTTTATACATGCGGACGTCTTGATTTAAAAGCTGTTTTTAACAGCTCTGTGACCAGAGTATAGATCTTTTTTTCTTGCCTGGTGGGAGAGATTGGTATTGGTGAAAGTGTGAGCTTCTCACTTGTATGTGCTGCAGAGGCGATGGCCCTGACACAGGGTGATGTAGGGCTTGTGCACAGGCTGGGCGAAGGACTCTGTTGTCGTGACGACGTTGTGACGGAGGTCCTGCCCACATGTCCGCCTTCTGGAGCAAAAACAACAAAAATGGAGCAGGTTGAAGTTTACCCTTGCCCTTATTAAAAAAAAAATACTGTTTTACATCTTTTGTGATCTTGATCCCAATAGCATTGTCTTTTTAAAACCCTGAGTGGCCTATGTGTCCCAGTTAAGAGCTGATCTTTGACCTTCCTGTCTGCACTTGACCCTTAGTTTAGTTTATTTTGGTCCTCACCCACCCCATTCCATAAATGACAGCCTATCCACTTCTAATCATCTGAGATTTGGCCTCTGGGAGAATGACCTCCTAAATGTTTGCATGTCATCTGGGAACGTCCCATTCAGGAACGGCTTCCTTAAAGCAAACATCTCAGGGTGAGGTTAGTGACAAAGTGACAGTCTATGATAAACGCAGAGATTTAGCAGAGCTTTTACCCATGACGCCCAAAGAAGTGGGGAGTGCCCATCACATGGAGGAAGAGGAGGGCGGAGGAGAGGAGCAGCTCTTGGTACATCGTCTTCCTCTTTCCCAAGTTTCCCCAGGCTCAAACTCTTCCTCTGTGCCTATCGTAGGGAGGATGATGCAGGACAGAAGGGCGTAGCCAGATTGTTCACGCTGGTTGTCTGTGGTGGCCCCAGCTACCTGTGTAAAAAGAAAAAGTTGTGTTCAGTTAAACAGAAAATACGTTTTCATTTTTCACCAGATGGAAATTCTTGAAAATGTTCTGCAGGAACTCAAATAGAATAGACTTCATTCCTGCAAAGCCACAGGTCATCCTTATCTGCTATGAAGAGGGAGACTTGAAGAGAGATGGACTGAGCACAGCGAGCGTCAGCTGTGTTGTGTCTGAGCTGAGTGGGCGTCAGAGCAGAGTATTAAAAAGTTGAAATCAGTGCAGAGAGAGCTGTGGGAAGCCGAGTAAGCTTCCCATTTGGCACCGGATGGGGAGAAAAAGGTGAGAAAGAGCAGCTTTTAAAGCTTAAAACGAACAGCAGGGAGTCTTCAAGTGACATTAAGTGAAGAGCTGAGTGCAGAAGATTAATTGGAGTGGGTCCAGAACCAGACTGGGATGAAACGTGTTCAGATGAAGGATGATTATCTAGTAAATGGTAGGTTAAAGGGAATGTATGGAAAGCCTGGTGTGCAAAAAAAAAAAAAAAAAAGAACACATAAAACAGTAAGAAAACACACTAAATAAATAACACCATTTGCTTTTTTTTTTTTAGAAAAAATGCTGAAGCTTTCTTTTTTCTTAGGCTTTCTAATAATGATGGTTATCTTGTATGATTTTTTTTTTTGTGACATAAATTTCGAATGCTTCTGTTTTTAATGTATTTTCTGTTTTTATTGCAATCTTTCTGAATTGTTTAGTTTGCGGAAAAGTGACAAACTCTAGCGCTGGATTTCTTTACCAGTTTACAAAGCTTCATTTTCTAGATCAAAACTCCAGTCCCCGATAATTAGTTTCTTGTTATATTTATATATTCACATTTTTATTATCTTTTTTTTTTATACTAATGGCTGTTTAAATCTTTTTTTTTTATGTAGTATCTAAAAAGCATAAAAAAGACCATACAGCATGGGATATGTTTCTTATATCATTTTGTTTTGCATTTAAATTAATTAAATACAATATTGTTATCACTACTGAGGCAGGTGACAGTTATAATATTCAACATGACGCTATGTGGCTGTAGATTGAACACTGTCCCAGACCAGCCGGCAGCAGGTAGGAGCATAAAACAAAAAAAAGGGACAACATAAACAGGAGGTCATCTGTGTTCTCAACTGTAACTCAGCTAAGGGCCCAATGCAAGCTTAGGCCGGCCGTGCCCACACACATTTTCTGACTCTGAGGCAGGAGAGATAAACACCTAGATCAGCACATTCTGCACAGGATTATTAGAAAAAGAGACAAGACCATCTGTCTGTAGGGCCTGTTTTAACACACATATTAAACTCCTCGGGAATCTCACCCAGTATATTAAAGCCTGCTGAGAAAAATCCCAGGTTATAAGACTGTGTAGCCTGACGGATGAGCATAGTTATCCTAGAGGTGATGCTAATCCTCGCATGACAGCCTGCATGTCAGTGTGATCCCTCCCTGCTGGCTACAGGCCCAGAAATAAAGTACATCTACAAGCCTGTTTTCATTCATAAAGCGCAATGGTGAGCAGCACTGTCAGAGCAGCAGAAGGCTGCTATGAAACAGTTACTAGATGTGAGATTTTTGGTACAAGTTGAGAAAAATTTACTGTAAGAGCCTGTGATTTAAAATGATGTTTATATTCATGATAAACATCACATGTCTGAGAGCATGGGTTTGTGCAAGCACAGACACGGGGCCTGCTCAGGGTTTAAAGGGGGCCCTAAGAGAGTTGATTAAAGCAGCCACTTCCACTTAAGAATCCATTCCCAAGCAAAAAAAAAAAAAAATTTTTTTTACAGCATTCATGTTTTAAGGCTACCAAGTGACTGCTAAACAAACTTTTCTAATGTGAATTATATAAATCATAATATGTCTTTCTTTACAACCACTATGAGGCACATAACACACTGCTATCTCTATGTAGAACTATTTTATAAGTTGTGCAAAACTACTAAATAAAACTACGAAATGTAATATTAAATTGGTTTAAATCAGACAGTAGCACTCTAAATAGATATTTAAAAACAAAGTTTCAGATTGATCAAAACTTATATCTATTTGCAGAAAAAAAGCTTTCTTACACTGAGAATAAGCCAACTGATTGAATTATTCGAAACTAATGTATAATTCCTTATAAATGTTTTACTTTATATATAAGCACATCCTATCTGCTTTATGCAGAATTAACCCCCCCCCCCAAAAAAATCATATAAATTCCAAGATAACTAGTTGTAGTTCTTAAAATGCGCCACTGGGTGGTGCTGTTTCCCAGCAGCAATCTGCACAGATTTGCACTTCGGACTCACATCCATCATTTACTTCTCCGTAACTCTAACATACGCCGTAAAGTGATGCTAAAGACTCCGAGAAACAAATTTGAACGGACAAAGGAAATACAAAATGTTTCTATAAGCTGAACATAGATGCCGCAGGCGGATACATGAAAGCAGACACCATCGGAGCGCATGCATGGATAGGAAAACAAATTAACTACAAACCGTTCAGTTAACAATCAGCCTTTCCACAATTGTTGCCCATTAGAATTAAAAATAAAAACAATCCTTTGGTGAGGAACGCTAAAAACTAACCGCTTAAAAAAAAAAAGAGTTGTTCAGGTAAAAGTCCAGTGATAACAGTCCGCCAGCAGAGCTCAGACTGTCAGAGAGAGCATGGGGGGTGATGGAAGGACCTCCTCCCACTGCCTCAGCTGGGTCACCCGCGCGCTTTGGGGGGGACCCGCGCTGACGTCACGCTACTGACATTTTTCGTCTTCCCACTTTTTATTCTTTTCCTTCAGAAACCCCCTACGCTTTACAAGGCTATGGCAGGCCGTTTACATATTTATTAGAAGCCTGCCATTGACGCAGCATCGCTTTAAAGGGACACTATGCAACATTTTTCAGTTAATTAATGTGTTCCATAACGTTTTGGATGATTAAATCAGTCATTTCAGGTTGAACAAAGGTATTCTCGGCCGCCCTGGTGGTCTGTGGGGGAAATACTGCACTTGCAATTGCAGGAGCACCGACCCGCACCCACAGGCTCAGAAGTCTCGTGAGAGTCAGTCTTGCTTTACGGCGAGAACTGCTACACGCCCCCAGTTAAAAGCATTCTCGTTGCTAGCACAGTGGCGATCTTTGTGCGTTTATGCTACGTTCACGCAGCAAAAGCAGCAAAATCGCGTCTGCTGCTTCCTTTTTGCTGCTTGTACCAGTTAGTTCTGACCCGTGGCTGAAGCAGCTTTGCTGCTCCGGCTGCAAAAGTGTGTCTGAGGCGCGTTGGGCGGAGCTTCACTATCCTTTCTCTGCCTTGCAGCTATATTTGCTGTGATCAGTGGGAATAAAGTAGTTTTAATATGTGTTGTGAGAAAATACACCTGAAAACGTAATCAGTGCCGTCAGTTCATTCAGATTATTATCCTGCCTTCAATATTTTTTCTGTCGGAGCCGCTCAGACCCCCACATACCAGCGGGGCGCCAACAGTATGGATCCCTTCATCAGCAGCGGTTCACCGCGGCAGCTGGTAGGTGTTTTTCATCTAAATAATCCAAACTGCATATTCTGCCGGCAGATTTCTGCATTTTAAGTTAATTTAGGCGTCAATAAACTGTTTAAGAGGAGAGATCATCAGCGCTGTGTCTCTCTCCCTGCGTTAAACGCACCCGACGCGCTGCTTCAGCTGCTCAGACGTGCTGCGCCTGGTGCTCAAAACGCGCCGCGGGACCTTTTGTTGCGCCTTGACGCGCGTCAACCATTGACTTTGCATGTAAACTCGCTGCTTCTGTCGCGCCAGCTACGTCCAGTGTGAACGCAGCGTTAGTCATTCGCTGCTAAGCTCAAAACAACCGCGCCTGGCTTGACGGAGAAACCAGGAGAACAGCTGTGCATATTTACGACAGTGCACTTTTACTTTCGCCCTCTGGAGGGAGCCTCACTGGAAAATCAACACCGGTTGCATAGTGTACCTTTAAGGCTGAGACTTCAAAGAGTGACGTAATGTTGATTAAACGATCAAAGCACTTTAGATTTGATTTAAAGGAATAGTACACCCAAAACATGATTAGCCTTCATTTTCTACTCACCTCCATGCTGAACAACACTCTGGAGTACTTTTTTGATATCTCAAATGCATCTGGAGATCTGGGAGGCTTCTTGCTGTCTGCTGACATTCAAATAATGGAGGTCTATTGTGCCCGAGACAGAAATGTCCATAAAAGTCCACAAAAACGTGTCAATATTCCTCCATACTGCTCGTCCAATGTATTCCAAGTGTCCTGAGTGGGTAGCATCCAGAATTTACTCGAAACGAAGTCATTTAGAATGTTTTTAGAGCATAAACAGTAGTGTATAGGATTTCCTGAAAGCGCGCACATGCGCGTTCACGAGCCTACGGAAGCCGGCAGACCAAACCAGCGCATTCAGCTCGGCAAAGAACTCATGCTCTTCCTCAACACTGAAGTCCTTAGACATTTTTCTTTCGTTGTTTCTTTCTTTGCACAGGTAAACAGCACATTTCTTCTGCTACGCTTGCATTATCGGCAGAGCAGACGCGAATGCGCACTTTCATCTGGTTTGGTCTGCCGGCTTCCGTAGCGTCATGAACGCCCCGGCGCGCGCTTTCAGGAAATCCTATACACTACACTTTATGCTCTAAAAACATTCTAAATGACTTCGTTTCGAGTAAATTCTGGATGCTACCCACTCAGGACACTTGGAATACATTGGACGAGCAGTATGGAGGAATATTGACACGTTTTTTGTGGACTTTTATGGACCTTTCTGTCTCGGGCACCGTAGACCTCCATTATTTGAATGTCAGCAGACAGCAAGAAGCCTCCCAGATCTCCAGATGCATTTGAGATATCAAAAAAGTACTCCAGAGTGTTGTTCAGCATGGGGGTGAGTAGAAAATGAAGGCTAATCATGTTTTGGGTGTACTATTCCTTTAATTGCAAAAACATTTTTGTTGCCTTTAGGGTTTTTGTTGTTGCTGCTTTTCTAAAGAATAATAATAATAATAAAACAATAAATATTGATTGTATATATTGTATTAATATAATAAAATAGTCTGAGAAGTAATAAGATTTATTTATGTAATTTTTAAATTTTTTCGTACGAAAGTGCCGAGCATCTACCTTGTAAGGTGTATATAAATCTTTCAGGCAAGTCCTAAAATCTAATACAGCAATAGTTTCTAAAATAAACATTTGTCCTTTTAATGATTCATAAAAATGATGCAGACATTATATAAGCAATATATATATATATATATATATATATATATATATATATATATATATATATATATATATATTTATGTGTGTGTATATATATGTGTGTGTTTGTGTGTGTGTATGTTTTTAACAGTCGTTATTATTACAAATAAATGGATGCATAAAGAAAAGTAAAATATGTAATCATTTATTTCGTAAAAAAAAGTCATTATCCTGCAAGGAACTTTAATTTAACACACTTAAGTATATGTTTTACATAATTATTAGGCGTACATTCATGAATATTTCATATTTTAGCATTAACCATGTAAATAAGTGGGCGGGGTCATCATTGTTATCCTAAATAGGTTTTAATCCTTTTTTTTATATATATATCTCTGCTTCTGTCTCCTTGAACCCCAGTCGGCCTCAGCAGATGGTTGCTCACACTGAGCCTGGTTCTGCTGGAGGTTTCTTCCTGTTAAAAGGGAGTTTTTCCTCTCCACTGTCGCTACAAGCATGCTTGATGTGAGCGATTGCCTTCGAGTCAATGAGTCGATGCAATCAACTGGTTTTTCTTACATAGAAAACTTTGAATCAACTTGACTGTATGATCTGGTGAACAGTAAAGTGCCTTGAGATGACATGTGCCGTGAATTGGTGCTATAGAAATAAACTGAATTGAATTAATAATTCCCCCTATTCAACTGCAACAATGACAGCAAGAAATATGAAATAAATAAATGACGTGTTTAAATTCAAAGTAAGTTGAAATTTGATTATTAGTGTTTCATTAATGATAAAGATTTATAAATGGACGTTTTTATAAATTAAAAGTATTTATGACAATTACATTTAAATTATTACAGCTATGAAAGCCTTTCATTACATACATTAAAATATAACGTAATGTCTCAATAATTCTATTGACTCTAAAAATAAAAAGAGGAAAAATATGACAGATTCTTTATTCAAGGTATCTAATAATGAAACTTTGAGATTATTCCAATTTGAGCATCAAAGCACGTATCTATAACTTATATCCACTGTTTTACTAAACACACGAAAAATACATAAAAGTAAATGTTTGTTAATTCATGTATACATTGAGAGATGTGGGGCTTTCAGCTCTGATGCATTAAATGAATGAAAAAGAGGATAGGATTCTTTAGTATTGATCAGACACAACAGACTGAAGGCAAATGCCTTTGTTTTATCTCCACAATTATTCATAACTATTTATTTCTACATTTTTGCATATCTGTACTGAAGCCTAATGCATATCATTTGTAGTAAAAAGAAATGGGCAGATTTTCCAAAATCTGACTTTTTTAGTATAATTAAACCACATCTACTTCTAACCTTGTGTAAAAAAGCAAACTTGTTGAGTTAATGATGTCTGAGAGTGTAGAGATCTTACCCGGGCAGTATGCGTTCATCAGGGGCATGTGCGCGCGCAGGCTGTCTTCTGGCCGTGGGCGCGAGCCCCCAGACCCGTGGCTCAGAGGAGCTCTCCATGTTTCCAGTTTCTTTTTAAAGCTCAAGCTCAGTTGAGGCTGAAAAATGCAGATTTTTTCAAAAACCCACCCCTGCGACCAATTTGAGGTGCTCCCTGCGAGCTGGCTGGCGACAAATGAAATGTCTTTGGGCGTTTTTCAGTTGCTTTTTATGCTGCGCTTCCTGTGGAACGCAGGAATTGGATGGACAATCCCCAAACCGGACTTCCTGTGAGTGTTTGCCACTGATAAAAGCCCTCTCCTGCACAAACACTCTCCATCCTGCTGGAATCTGATTTTGAAGCATTTTTTGGCTCCTATTGTAGAGCTCATAATCTTGAAGGGGGCAAAGTGCCCTCAGTCTTCTCACCTCTTGCCCTCCTTAGGAGCTCAGCTGAAAACACTAGTGGTAGCCATTTATTGAACCTAGTTGCTTTATACAACCCTGCTGATGCATTAGTTGAACTGATGGCTGCAGAGCCCACATAGGCTAATGTTTACAACTGTTTGAGATCAAATCTGGGAAATTGCAGCTTGAAGCTAAAGAGCAGGAACGATAAGGAGTTTCTTTTCCCTCCCTTTCATTCTGTGCTTTGGTGCTACCCTCTTTAATCCTTGAAGTCGCCTATAGCTTGGTAAATTGGAAAATCCAAATTCAAAAAAAAAAAAAAGAATAAAAATATTGAAATATTGTGTAGATTAGTGCAATGCAAGGCAATGCTGTGATAGTTATGTAAGTTTTCCAACTTATAAGAAAGATGGAATATTTGACTTTACCTTTCATGGTTGCAGAACTACTTCTTTCCTGTGTATTTACAGGTCAGACTTTTCCAGAACTCTTGAACTGTAAAAAAAACAAACTTAGATTTGTACTTGTTCAAGAAAGGCTTGTTAAAAAACAATCAAGTCATTTCTCTGATTCCTCAAGCCACCCACAGAAAAAAAAAAAACCCTCCATCCATCTAAGAAACAGCCTCACCCTCTATGAAGATTAAAATAACTGGTACCCACAGCAGGATAAAGCCATTTGAAGTCTGTGAAAGGTTTTCAGGAGCCCATTTCCTTTGTTTGTGTTGTAATTAAGTAATGGAAGCC